GTAGTACAGAGTCTGCCTTGCAAGCTCGAAGCCCTGAGTTCAAACCTCAACACTACCACCAAAAAAAAAAAACACTACAAAATTTGTAGTCTCAATGCTTCTCTCATGGTTCACTCTCTCTTGGGTGAGCGCATGTTCTCCCAAGACATTAATTAGTATTCACCTGTTTACTGATGAGTTTTAGATCTCTATTTCAAGCTCGAATGATTGGCTTCAGTTCTAAATCATGAAAATATATCCATTGTGTTCACTGGAAGACCTCAGGGGATATTAGTTCAACATGTTTAAAACCAAACTCACTTTCCTGATAATCTGCCTCACTCTAACATGAACCTTTTTTTTTTTTTTTTTTTGGTGGGACTGAGATTTGAACTCAGAGGTTCACACTTGCAAAGCATATGCTTTGCTGCTTGAGCCACACCTCCAGTCCATTTTACTCTTGTGGTTTTGGAAATGGGGATCTCAAGAGCTATTTGTTTGCCTAGCCTGGTCTCATGGAACCAGAATTCTCCTATTTCTGCCTCCCATGTAGATTGTATTACAGGTGTGAGCTGCCAGCACCTGGCTTGTATGTACCAATTTTAAAAACAAAAACGTTTCCTTCACACGTTCTCTCACTAGCTTTTCCTCCCTTATTCTGTGACTAGGAAATTCTGCTCCCTCTAATCTTTACCCAAATCCTCCATACACTCATCCCATCAAGACAGTCTATATTTTCTTGTAAACTTTTAGTGTCAGAATGACATTTCTGTGTCGTGATTCCGTTCTAAACTACATCCTTATCTCCTCTATGTCATTTCTAACTCTGGTTAAAAGCATTCCATCTGAAATAAACGCCCTGAGTTCCTTCTGTTTTTCTTCCTCTATTCCTTTTTTTCCTCCATGAGTCCTCTTGATGTTAACCTCCTTCTCTTATCTGCAGAGACCTGACTTATGAAAACAGGACCTTGTCTGTCTCGTCTCCAGCTACTGGAACACTGAGTGCCAGTAATACACTGAGTAGGTATTTGAAAAGATGCACTGAGTGCTTCAGTAATTAACAAATTGTCCTTTCTGTTGCCCTTTCCATTTTCCCCTGTCCTTTTACGCCAGGTTCTTCTGCCAATCTACAAATGTTAAGCTTTTTTTTTTTTTTAATCAACTGAAAAAAAACCAAAAACACGCTCATAAAAACTTTTTGTCTCTCAAGCTATTTTCTTCTATACCAAGCTCCTTTTTAGCCACATCTTCACTTCATCTTTACAACATTAATCTTCAACACAAAGAGATGCAATTTACTACCAAAACTGCCTTCTCAAAATCACCAGGGACTTCCTGAACCCTTTCCCTGCATACATCACTCAGTACAGAACACTCACCGCTTCTTAGAACTTTTCTTCAGGAGGCCTTCCTTGATTGCCTTAAAGATAGGTTATATGTTCCTTTATTTCCTGTAAATAATCATACCCTTATTATGCTGTTTATATGACTATAAACAAGGACTATATGTCATGTTCTAGAATAGCAATTTCTTGACGATAGATGCCATGTTTTTTTTTTTTATGGTAGTAGTGGGGTTTGAACTCAGGGCTCCAGGAAGGCACTCTACCACTTGAGTCCCACCTCCAGCCTGTGTCATGTCTTCTTAATTAATATAGTCCCACTATTTGGCATGGTGGCTAGTTAATAAATATATCTTGAATAAACAAATGAGTATTACCATCAGGTCAAAACCTGACAGAGTTCTAAGAATACTGGAGAATGGGAGTGTTTGTTAAAGATGACATTGAGTGACATTCTAAGGAAATGTAGTGTGAGGGGATAGGGACAGTCAGAATGTGTCATAAAGATATGAATGGATTCATTTATGGATCCACTCATTCATTAATTTGACACTCACTATGGCAAAGGCAAATAAGAAGGTAATTAAGAGACAGTACTTGTCTTTATGGCTCTGTCTTATCATCAAGAGCTGAGGTTTTAGGGATGGTAAAGCTGGTAGAAAACAGTAAGATACTATGTAACTCTGAATCTAATGTAATAATATCAGGACAGCTTTCCAAGACCACAAATCAGCTTCTTCTGATCCACACACCTTTACAATTTAGGTCTATCAATGCAATTTCCAAACTCATGTGTAAAGAAACACCTGGGAATTTCATTGAAGATACAGAAAAGCTGGGTACCGATGGTGCATGCCTATAATCCCAGCTCCTTGAGAGACTGAGATCAGGAGGATCAAGATTCAAGGCGAGCCCAGACAAATAGTTCTTGAGACCCCCATCTCCAAAAAATCAGAGCAAACTGGACTAGAGGTGTGTCTCAAGTAGTATGAGTGCCTGCTTTGCAAGCCTGAAGCCCTGACTTCGAACACCAGTACCACCAAAAAAAAAAAAAAAAAAAAAAGCAGACTATTCCCAGAAATACTGATTCTATGGATCCAAGATTCTGTATTTTAATAAGTATCATAGGTGATTACGATGCTTTTGAGCTACAGAACGTACTATAATAAAATCCTCAGTCATCAATGTCATAATTCTGTCAAATCTTAGTCCATTTATATTACTTTCTTAAAAATTTAAGTCAAAACATGTATATATACATATAGATATATGTATCATCCTAAGCAAGGGGTTTGATGACATTTTTTTGCAATACACATGAAATAAATATGTAACCATTAAAGTTTACTTGTATACAGGAGTGGAGGGGAAGCAGTTTGCAAAGCACTGCTCAGGAGTTTATGCCCTATAAACTCCATATCTTGCTTGATATAAACTATAACAAAAGTTCCAGGGCAGTGAAGTTCAACAAAACTCTGCTTGAGAAAAGCTCACACAGGTACTCTGGTACCTTTTATGGGTTATAAAACAATCCAAAAATGTCTTTTAAATCAATGTGCTAATTGCTAGGAAATGACTTATTATAAAAACTTTATGAAATAAAAATACTGGCTTTTATTTTTAAAAGTTTTTTTTTTAATTCTGTCACTTAACTTTCAGGATATTCTTGAGTTAATTCCTGAGTTAACTCCCAACAGCTAATTTAAAAGCATCAGTTGGAACAAAATGAAGATTTATCTGTGCTCTTGACCTGCAATAAAATATTCATTCATTTTATTTAGAATTACATTTGATTAACACTGATAATGAAGTTCAAAGATATAAACTCAATAGCTCTGTCTTTTCCTTCAACCCCAAAGCAATTTATAATAATAGACAAAATAATACAGCAAAAATCTCAGGGGAAACAACTGTAAAACTCTATTCTTTAAAGACCTTGGCAAGCCATAACCACAATAGGAGGGCTACGTTGTGCTGATACTAAGCCTATAAGAACAATACTCTGGTCTAAGTTTTGCTTTTGCTTAAATGACTACAAAAACCAGTTTCTACCTAAATACTCTTTGCAATGATGTCTTTTGGTTACCGCATTGTCAGTGTGTCACAGTCAGTTCTATACATGTTTAATCTGTAGTCACACTGAACAAAAGCATCAGTGTCGTCTCCATCTCTGCATCACTTAAATCGAATAGAAATTTACCTTACTACTTACTGATTTCTAAGGCATTTTATCCCTTTCCCCCCACCCCTTGTCATGCTGGGATTGAACCCAGGGCCTTGTGCATACCAGGCAAGGGCATTTTACCCTTTTTGGATGAAAGGATTATTGCAGTAGCCCCTTAACCAATCTCCCTGCCTCAGTTCTTGTTCCCTACAGTCTGTTTTCTACACAGCAGCCAAAGAAGCCCTATTAAAAATGTCACATCACTCTTTTGTGCAGTCTGTATCACAGAGTAAAAGCCAAAGTCTTAGGTGGCAGGCCAGGCTTCTCAGCACTCAGTCCCCATCCCTCAGCACATCTCGTCCTAATCCTCCCTGCTCACTTTGCTCCAGTTACAACAGATTCTCCACTGTTGCCTGAAACAGGGCCTTTGCATCTGCTGTTCCTTTTGCTGGGATCGCTTTTCCCACGAGTGTGAGCTCTACCACTTCCTTTAGGTCTTTGATGCAACACCTTACCTATAATCCCTGCCTCCCCACCCCAAACCTATCTTCTATCCCCTCTCCTTGCTTCGCTTTTCACCATAGCACAGCATTTGTCACACTATGCCTTTTCTTTATCATGAGTTTACCCCCGCAGGACTGTGAACTTCTTCTGGTGAAGATCATGTGCTTTCTTTATTTATTGTTGTCACCAGTGCGCAGAGCAGTGCCGGGCACATAGCAGATGTTCAATAAATATTTGTTTCATGACCAAACAGTATGAGTACAAGTTTGGGACTTTTAGCCTTAACCCCACTGAGAGCTTGGAAATTAGAGCTGGTGAGTATCCCCAAATTTCCAGATGGCGTTTTTGAACTTGCACGCACGTCTTTTGTCTAGTGCGTCGTTCTCTCTGATGTGTCTTCGTGAGACAGCAGCAAAATTCCTCACTAGTTTGCAAGGGAGAAGAAAACCGATGATGCATACAACTGATCTTAGATGATCTGATTCTGAATCACAAGCTAATAAAGAAAAACGCCTGCTGAATTTGCATAGTTTCTCCTCGTAACCTAGTGGAAATACACTGAGTACGTGACGCCTTCTGGGGGGTGTGAAAGGAGCCGGGGGGAGCCGCGCAAACCCCGCAGCCCTTCGTCAAAGAGCGTCAACTCTGGTGCGGTGCAAGTTACTTTTTTTGGGGGGTGGGCACGCCTGGAGGTCTGTGCAGGGGTGTCTCTCTACCCCCTCCGAGGCGCCTATTGTGCTGCGTGCGTCCCGGGAGCCAGGGGCGGCGGGAGCGGAGCGGGACATGGAGGATGCCGAGCGCGGCGGCCCGCACGGCCGCCCCAACGCCAAGTGCGCGGGCCGGGGCTCCGCACGGGCGTCCACGGACGCGGGGCCGCGCGTCTCGGACCGCAGCGCGGGCGGGACGCGGACTTAGGCCCGGCCGGAGCCCCGTGGCCTCCGGGCAGCAGGGCCCGCGCGCGTCCCCCGTCCTGGGCACCTCCCCACCGGCCCGGCGCCCTTGTGCGTTACCTCGAACTCTCTTCAGCGCAATGGGCTCCTTGTCCTGTTCTGCGGACATCACAGACCGCAAAGCATGACGCCCCCCAGGCCGCGGGAATCCGGTGTCTTTGATGCGGCGGCGGCGGCGGCGGCGACGGCGGCTCCTCCTCCTCCTCCGCGCGGGGCCGCGGCGGCGCGGCTGAGCTCGGGCGGCCGGGCGCCGGCGAGGGCGGCGGGGACGCGGGCCGACTTTGCAAAGTTTGGGAGGCGGCCGAGGCCTCGGGGCGGCGGGGCGGCGGTGAGCGGGAGCTCGGCGGGCTCAGCGGCGGCCTGGGGGTGGCACGTGCGGGGACCGAGCCGCCACCGCCACGGCCGCCGCGTCCCGCTCCTCCTCCACCGCCGCGGCTGACAGGGGAGGGAAGAGGGGAGGGAGGCGCCCTCGCTGCGCCCTCGGAGGACGAGGCCGGCGCGCCCGCCGCTCCCGAGGCGCAGACACAAAAGCCCCCAGCGTGGAGCCGCCTGCGCCACCCGCTCCGGGGCGGGCGAGGGACGTGGCACGGCCCCGCGGCTTCCCCGCCCTGCGCTCCCCGGCCCCGCGCGGGGACGGGCTTCGGGGGGCCGGGGCCGCCGCCTCGTCCCGCCGCGCCTCCCTCCCTCCGGCAGCCGCCGCGCTCTCCGCCTCGGCCCAGCCCCCACGGCCCGCGCGCGCCCCTCGCCCCGCGCCCCGCGCCCCGCGACCCCGCGGGCAGCGCGCTCAGGAGCCGACCCGCCTCGCGGCCCGCGCCCTGTGGCCGCCAGCCCTAACCCGGGGGTCGCCTCGCTCGCTTGGAGACCTCGGTGACGACGACGCGGCGGCCACCAACTTCGCGGCGTCGTGGCCGCGCAACCCCGGCTCGGCAGCAGGAACCGGGGAGGCCAGCAGCAAACTTTGGGGCGGGCTTGGCGCGCGCGTGGGGACCCCAATACCCTGCACACCTGTTTCTGTGGTGCCCCACTTTGGTGTTTGTGCGACCTGCCCACGGGGACACTGGGCAGGACGGGACCTCCCCCAGGAAGGTTGTAAATTAGTGTCCATCACTTGAGCTGTGTGACCTCAGGCGACTTAGGTAACCTCTCTGGGTTTCAGTTTTCTCATTTACAAAAAAGACAGTGGGGCTGGATCTCCAAGGTGTCTTCTAGCTCCGACATCCTTTGATATACTTTTACGAGACAGTGTTCCCTATTTTTGTAAGGTTTTCTAGTTATCCTACGAAAGAGAATCTGTAGGTGGAGACACCAATCCTCAGGTAAAACGCGGTTTGTTCTGATGTCTGAATCACTGCAAAGCGCTCCGTAAGCATGCAAGGTCCTAGAATTAACCAACACGGCAGTCACATCGTTTAGGAGACAAGACTCACAGAATTCATTCAATTCCCAGACAACTGCCAAGAGAACAGAGGCAAAGAAGAAGCCAGTGGCAGAGTGTCAACAGTTTATACAGAACCCGCTTTAGAAGACAGTCTGGCCAGGAGCAGACCTTACTCTTTATCTAGAAAGGAGGACTGGAAGACTGAGTCTAGGACAGGATGGATGGGGGAGGTGTTGGTACAGTAGGCATATCTGAGAAGTTCCCCCAAAGTAGAAAGTAAGCTACATGCAGGCAGAAATTTTGTCCAGTTCACTGCTGTGCCCTCTCCTACCACGCTGGCACACAGGTGTTCAAAAAATATTTGTTGAATGAATGTGTGAGTAAATAAACTGGAAGTGGCCCTGGAACAAGGGGATTGGCAGAGCTGTGGAAAGTGTGATAAAGCTCAAGCAAATGGTAACCAAATATGGTAAAGAAGTTGAAGCTAATACTCTCCCTCACAGGGTTGATGAAGGAAGACTTGAGAACACTTTGAAAACATCAGTCGATAAGATGTTGAGAAAATCAAAATCATTGCTAAGAGGTTTTGAATTTTTTTTTTCAGATACTGTGAATCAAACCCAGGGCCTCGTGCATGCTAGACAAGCACTCTTCCACTTGAGCTATGCCCCCAACCTAATTTTGAGTCTTAATTATAATTTCCTAAGGCTAGAGACTCAGAAATAATACAAAAATCAAGACAAATGAGCTGGCCTCTTTTGAATGATTCATCAAGAATTAAAAGACCATCTTACTTGGACTTTTTTTTTTTTTTTTAAGATCAGTTGGTCTTCTGAATCCTGACTGCTTGCTTGCACACACCAAAAGATTTTCCAAACTTTCAGATTCCCAAGCTCCTCTCCAGATTTACCAAATCAGGATCCCTGGGAAATGAGGTCTGGAAATCTGTCCTTAAATGCTCTCTAGATGAGTCAAAAGCAATGATGATGTGGCGACTTGCATTTCTGAAGGGTATGGTAGGCAAAACAGTTCCTTGAAGATATGGAGATTAATGAGACCCCAGCTCACAGTTTAGGTGAGAGAGCAGAGGTTTAAATCATCACTGACGATGCAGAGTGCCAAGCACTGCAGAACCCTCGGCTCACCTCAGGAGGCAGATGGATAGCTAGTGATCTTAAAAAGAACATACACGTGTAGTTAACGGGCTCGGGGAGGAAGGCAGGTATGGGCAGTTATTCTTTCATGGGTATAAAGTTTTAGTTTGAGATGATTGGGGAAAAAAATTGGGGGCAGTACTAGGATTTGAATTCAGGGCCTCAAGCTTGGCTCTCTACCACTTGAGCCCCCTACCCTTTTTTGCATTAGTTATTTTTAGGTAGGGTCTCGTGTGTGCCCAGGCTGGCCTGGACTGCAATCCTCCTATTTATGTTTCCCACATAGCTGGGATGACAGGCATACTCCACCATGCCTAGCTTTTTACTGGTTGAGATGCAGGTCTCCTGAACTTTTTGCCTGGGCTGGCCTTGACCCGAAATCCTCCTGATCTCCGTCTCCCTAGTGGCTAGGATTATCGGCATGAGCTCCTCTGTCTGACTGGGATGATAGACTTCCTAGAGGTAGATAGTGAAGATAGTTGCACAACAATGTGAATGTAATTAATGCCACTTAATTATGCACTTAAAAATAGTTAAAATGGTAAATTTTGGTTATATGTATTTTACTACATAAAAAGAGGAGAGGGGAGCTGGGTACCTGTGGCTCACGCCTGTAATCCTAGCTACTCAGGAGGCAGAGATTGGGAGGATCAAGGTTCAAAGCCAGCCTGGGCAAATAGTTTTTGAGACCCTATTTTGAAAAACCCTTCACAAAACAGAACAACAAAAATAGGGCTGGTGGAGTGGCTCAAGGTGAAAGCCCTGAGTTCAAGCCTCAGTACTGCAAAAATAAATAAATAAAACTAAAGAGAAGAGGGAGAATATGTAGAAATTAGTCAAACAGATTGCTAGGGCAAATCAAGTCTTCTAATCAAAGGGAAGAGAACTTCCAAAGGAAAAGGGGTTGAGAAGGCACGAATCTACCAGAGACCTTAAGTAGTTAGGAGTGGCTGCAGCCTAGGGTACCTTTGGAGAAGTGGCAGGAGATGCTTTCATGACAGTAGACAAGGACCAGATCTCTGAAGGGCACTGCATGCCATACCAAGGATTGTGGATTTTATCTTGAAAGCAATAAGGAAACACTGAAGAGTTTAAGCACGTGAATGACGTGCAAAGTGTTGCATTTTAGAACGATCATTCTGGCTACAAAGAGAAAGATGATCCTCTTCTACAAAGCTGGGATTATAGGTGTGAGCCACTTTCCGTTATAGTTAATAACCCTATAATAAAAAATTGTGTAAACTTTTTGGTATAGTTTCATAGGAATTTACAAAGAAGTGTTCAAGGAAGTTCCATGCATCTTCCCCAATTTTAACATCATATAGTATTATAATATATCAAAACCAAGAAGTTGACATTGGTATAATACATAAAGTCTATTTAGATTTCATTAGTTACATGTGCACTTATTTGCATGTGTGAGTCTGTAGCTTTATCATGTGTTGCTGTGTGTAACAACCTCTACAATCAAGTTACTTAACTGTGTCACCATCACATGACCTCTAATGACAAGACCCCTTTGGATTACCCTTTCATAGTCACACTCACTCAGTCCCCTTATCCTTAACCCCTGGCAACAACTAATCCATTTTGTATTTTTATAATTATATTACTTCATGAATGTTTCACAAATATAATTAGCAGTATGTTTCATTTGGGGATTTGCTTTCTTATCACACAGCGTAACTTCCTTGTGTTTCATTAAAGGAAATTACATTTTACATGTCAATATCTTCTTCCTTTTTACTACTTAGTAGTATTCCATGCATGGATATACCACTGTTTTTTTCAAACTATTTTCTCATTTAAGGACACCAGGGTGGTTTCTACTTTTTAACTATTAGTCATTTATGAACATTCATGTACAAATTTCTAAATGAAAATAAGGCTTCATTTTTCTGAGCTAAAGGTTCAAGAATGCAATTGCAGGGTCATATAGTAAGTCCATGTTCAGTTTTGTTTAAGAATTACCAAACTGTCTTTTAGACTGCAGAGTGCTCTTGTAAAAACAGAAATCTCGGCATGGCACCGCGTTATAGAATTCTCTTCAGTAGCTTCCCATTGCTGTTATAACTAAGGCTAGATTTCTTTTAAATGGACTTATGTGATATGATTTCATTGGTTTCTCCAGCCTCCTGTTCTTTATGCTGACTGGCCTTTGAACCTCTCCTCAGTTCATCATTATTTGCCTACCTTAGGGGCTTGGCAAAGCTGTTTCCTCTCCCTTCTCCTAGTCTAAAAACTCCAAGTCTACCTTTCATTCTTAGGTATCAGCTCTTCAGGGAAACCTTTCCCCAGTCTAAGTCAGGTTCCTCTTTTATTTTGTATGTTCTTTTATTTCATTACTTCTCTCAGTTTGTAATTACATATTCATTCCTGCAAATATCTGGTTAAATTTGGTCTCTGCTTCCAAATTAAAATCAAGAATATAAGCAAGGATTATTTTAATTTTTACTCAGTATTGTCTAGCACATAACAAGTGCTCAATAAATGTTTTTTGAATGCATGAACGAATTGTATACTGGCAAAGAATTCAGTGTCAACACTTTAAATTCTGTAAACTGTTTAATTAGCCATTATTCATTTAATATGTTAACTACTAATCTTGCACAGATAGCCTGCTAAGCAAGACTCCTACAGCCAAATTTTGGATTCATACAAAGTTTCATTAATACATCCTGGAAAATATATATATAATTTT